TGTCTTTTTTTTTATTGCTAGTGGGGTTAGACTAAGTCCCTTGTGCTGCGGCCACTTCTGGCCTATTGTACCAGCCCCAGATGATAGGTGAGGGTGATTGTGGAGCAATTGGTGGAATGAAGATTGGCAGGGGAAACCGAAGTACTCGGAGAAAACCTGCCCCAGCGCCCCTTTGTCCACCACAAATCCCACTTGACCAGACCCGGGATCGAACCCGGACCGCAGTGGTGGGAAGCCAGCGACTGTACTTTAATGCCGCGGCGGCCCGGTGTATATTTTTGTAAGAAATTGTGCAGACGGATGTAAAAATACCCGACGCATTTTAATGTGACGCTCCCATAAATGCCAGTGTGTATAGATGCTTCAGAATTGTCAGTGTGTATCCAGCTGTCCAAGATCTCACAGCCTTGGCAAAGAAACGTGATATGTTTTGGGATGAGCCTCCGTAGAGTCTGGTAGACTGTTACAACGTTCTGAGGGCAAGCCAGGCATGTCAGCACTGAATAACGAAAGCAATGGAGAGGATCAGCTGAGGAGATGTTAATGCCGGGCACTAAGAACATTCTGCCCTGAGTAGTTGAGGGCAGTCAGCGAAATGGGCTTGTCTGAAGCCGCTTTTTGCAAGCAGAGCTCTGCCTGCCTCCATCCACACGGAAAACTGGCTCGCCGCTTGCCTCCAGTTTCCGTTCTCAAACACGTGATAACCTGCCAAGGCCACGCCATAGCTCAAGCGGTTAGTCGCTGGCTTCCCACCGCGGCGGCCCGGTTTCGATCCCGGGTTTGGTCAAGTGGGATTTGTGGTGGACTGTGATGCTGGGTCAGGTTTTCTCCCAATACTTCTGTTTCCCTTGCCAATTCTCATTCCGCCGACTGCTCCACAGTCACCATGTATCATCCGGGGCTGCTACAGGCCAGTTAGTGGCCGACGTACCAAGTGGACTCAGTCTCACCCCCACCCGAAGAATTAAAAAAAAACTCTACCAGACTACACGGCGTCCCACAGTATCTCCTCCGTTATGGCCTCACCATAGCTCAAGCGGTTAGTCGCTGGCTTCCCACCGCGGCGGCCCGGTTTCGATCCCGGGTTTGGTCAAGTGGGATTTGTGGCGGACAAAGTGGTCGCTGGGGCGGGTTTTCTCCGAGTACTTCGGTTTCCCCTGCCAATCTTCATTCCACCAAATTCTCCATCATCATAATCACCCGGGGCAGGCTACAATAGGTCAGTCGGTGGCCGCCGTGCCGAGTGGACCCAGCTGCCCACTTAGCGAATCTCCTGTTATGAAGCCTGATCTCCAGGTTGGAAGGAATCGCTCAGAGGGCGGAAGTGACGATGACAAAAGCACTGCGCCCTAAGAGGGGTTCCCCTTTAAGCCGCCAATGGATTGATCCGCGCGGTAGCGTGCATCTGGAGGTTAGAGTAGAAATTGGCAAGATTTTAGAGGTTAGAGCAGGGGTGGGCAAACTTTATAGCCGGAGGACTCGAATAGGGGTTGCAGATGTTTTGACGGGACTGGCATATATCAGCGCAATAGTTTTAAGTGCTCTATAACACAGAATAAATGTTCACTGCTACAAAAGTCACCTGAACGCCGCACAGTACATTACTACATTACTTGAGATTTAACAAGTAAAGTTCCTATTTGTAATAATATGATAGGCAGATTTTCGCAGTAGTTCACGGGCCACGTAATATGCTGTCACGAGCCTGATCCGGCCCGGAGGCCACAGTTTTCTAACCCCTCGATTAGAGGCTGGAACCTTGGCATTGAGTTATTTTGATACGAACGTCGAAATAACGTTACGGGCTAAAGCGAAGCTACTCTTGACACAGCTGTGACCTTCTTCAGAGGAAACGGCAACAAGAAGGGCGGGGGGGGGGGGGGGGGGAAGCAAGAAAAAGAATGCACCCAGGCATCNGGGGGAGAAGCCAGAACAGTAATGCACCCAGCATCTCTCCGTTTCAAGTAAATTGTATCGATCTGTTTTTTGTTTTGCGAGTTCCTTTTATTCGTGTTCCAGCTGCCAGAGAAGTTGCGGCTGGGCTGACGCGAGATGCCTCTGCCGTCGATCTTTTTCGTTGCGTAGTTTTATATATAGCCGGCAGAGGTCTGCCTGATGTCAAGTTAACAAGTTACTGTCTTGTAAAAACCCGGATCTGTACTTCCACTCCCCCATACGTCTTCACGGTGCAGTGCTTAATTAGGAACAGTTTTATTGTATTAAAGTGTTTTTGTTGTCGACGTCATCGTCGCCATTATTATTGTTATCATTTGTATTACTATGCACTCGTGCTAACTTTTTAATTGGCCCCTAGGCTGTTAAGTTTGCACGTTAATAAACACGAATTTAATTGCGTTATTAGTATTGATCTTATGATAATCGAACTGTCGGTATAGATACAGGCTGGGCGGCTGCGGGTTCGATTCCCGACAGTGCAAGATTTTTCTCTTCACAGCGTCCAGACCGTCTCTGGGGCCCACTCAGCCTCCTATCCAGTGGGCAGCGGGGGTGATTTCCCCAGAGGTTAAAGCGGCAGGGGCGTGTAGCTGAGCCCTCACCTCCATCTATTCCGAGGTCAAGAAAGGTGGAGCTATTTATCCACTCCATCGTCTTCATGGCATAAGGACAACCTTAACTTTTTTACATTTAATCATACTTTACCACGAAACTCAGAATCACTGGGGTTTCGGTCTTTGTCCAGCGTCCGGTGTTATAAAAACTAGAGAACACGACGTTTCCGTCCTCAGGTGAAGGGGGAGGCACGTACTCTGTTGGATCTCTTAGAATGAGCTAACCTTCACTGGACGGAAAGTGATCCAGTTTCCGAAACGTCGTGTCCTCCAGTTTCTAGAATTCCGTATGTTATACGCCGTCTTCAGAACCGTTTAGACTCCACTTGTGCCCTGAAAGTTAGAGGTTCACAAGAGTGATTGTGTTATGATCTGTTTAGAATCTCTTGTTTGATGATATCTTCTGGGGCGTGACGCCGTGACCACGGAGTTCCCCTCCTGATTACGAGTCCAGGGCGGTAGCAGATGACAGTGCCACACATTTTGTTGGGGCTGATCACTAGCACGGCCGCTACACCGCTTGGAGAAGCTATCTCGCGCAGCTCGTACTAGGTTTCAGAGCTGATAACAGGCCCTGTGTGTGCAGGATTCCGCAATAGCCCTGACGAAGAGCAACACGTGCGCCTTCCGCTTGACAACCGTGGGAAGGAATGCGCCAATCTCTGGTTATGTACTTCCCTTCCCCTTGTGGTTTGTGGTTTACTTACCTACGCGGCCAGTATCTCATATTGTATAGCGTCGAATGGTACGGCGAGCGGTGAGTAATCAGTTGGGGAGGATTGGGAAGGAAACGGTCGTGGCTTAATTGAAGTACAATCGTGATATTTCGATGGCTTGATGAAAACCGTGGGATACTGCAGTCAGGAGAGCGGGTGTTGCGATCTAGATTCGAACCCAACAGCTTCCGAATACGAGGCAGAATCAGCAAATAGGGCACAAATTGGTATAAAACGTAGAGCACGTGACATTCAAACATGTCGTCATATTCTCACTCAACGTTGATACTCTTGTCATATTGCTTTACCCTGGTTGGACATAATCTGCGACTTTAGAGCATCTTTGAGGGAATTTCTCGAACGCTTCATGCAACGAACACTTTCCATCGTAGACAGGAAACATTTCTTTATGAATATCCTTTGCATTGAGTCCTTTTGCCCACAAAGAAACGCACAACGGAACTCTGCTCTTCGGTAGTAAACATCTCAAGCATGGTCGCCATCTTGACTACTGAAACCAGCCTCTGTGCATGCACATGCGCGTCTGCTTCCTAGACTTTTGTGAAGCTGGACTGTGCTCCAACCTAGTGATACACACAGAAAACATATTACACCCATTAGAGCTGTTTTACTTCCATTTGTGACCTATTTTCTGTCTCCCTGTCGTACGAGTTTGAGCGTTAACGCTACTCCACCGCGCTTCCTCAGTGTAACACAACATGTTGTATCTGAAACATCTGTGAGGGCGCGTCATATCAGATAGTGACGTACATGGTTGCGTCATCATTATGAAGTTTTTTTTTATTGCTAGTGGGGTGGGACTAAGTCCCACGTACTGCGGCCACTGGTGGAATGAAGATTGGCAGGGGAAACCGAAGTACTCAGAGAAAACCTGCCCCAGCGCCACATTGTCCACCACAGATCCCACTTGACCAGACCCGGGATCGGGAAGCCAGCGACTAACCGCTTGAGCTATGGCGCGGCCTAATTATGAAGTTAATGTATGGTATTTTCAACATTCGACGGTGGGAACCAAAATCAGGAGACGGGACACCGATGATATTTCTTGCTTAATGTTGTGTGCCCGAGTTATGACGTGATTTCGGTGATGTTTCAAACTGAGTGTAGCGTATCTCCACTGTGAGATAAGTAAACATATGTTTCGTATCTGGCTGACTGGGTGCTCATGTCGGAACATTTCGAAGGAAAAGCAGCGCAGTACACTTATGACGTAACGTAACGAAACTTAGGACCATTTTGTATCTCCATATCCGCATCATACCCGTAATAAAGCAAATGTAATTTGTGATATTCTGATATTATTTCAAATAGGCGACAGTAGTTCTCCTGCACATCCTATACAATTCATCATTTGCAGTCACCTCATCATTCGCTGTAATTGGGAAACAGTCGTGAAATTAGGCGTTTAATAGGAGCAGTGGTAGTGTTATGTACCATTCGCATTAACATTTAAGAACTCTCCATTTGTGTGTTCCGTGTGGTTCTCACAATAAACAGCGACTGTTTCCCTAAACAGGATTAACCGTTTGGGCTTTGTAGTGATGACGTAATGTGTTTACTGTGAGGTACAAACTGGATTTGTATATATTAGCCTCTTGTTTATATGAACAGTGTGCTTGAAATGGTTATGGGAGAAGCGTAGTACACCAGTGTCGCTATTTTAGGTCTAATAATGTTTTATTTTGTTTCATAGGGTGTCCTTCGGCAGTTCCAAAGGATCAATGGTTGAGACACTTATTTATGAAAGTCCTCTTCAGGAAGAGCCAGAAGCCAGTCCAATCCTCGAGGGTGTTTGCCCATTTTCAGCCGACGGAGAAAATGGAGAGTGAGTACAGTGGGTGCATGACTAAAGAATTGGGCCCAAAAGGAGCTCCAAGAAGAGCTTATGGATCCTGTTTCACTGTTTCATGTATTTCTAGTCTTATTACTATTCTGCACCATTTTATTTTCTAGAAGACCTTGTTACATATTCTGGCTACAGTAAATTTGTCGAATTCGTCGATGCGGACTGTCGCCATGTTTGTGGTTGTTAACGTAAAAAGAGTAATTCAAACACTGCGTAGGTACATATATGTTCTCTCTTCGTACCAGCTTTAATATGCCAGTTTTTAATAGTTCAATAGTGATCGCCATCAATCCGAAAGGAAAAGAAAACTTCCGCCTGGCCTCATGTTATTATTTCACATGTACGAAAAAATTGCATTAACCGAAGTTCTCTAAGGTCTGTCATCCCAGACCGTTGTGAGATGCTGAATTAAGTGACAGTAGCTTCGCCTCCGCCATGTTGATACTGTTGATTACAGTAAAGTTGAAATAAATACGACGTTATCTCGAAAAGCCATTCATGCCGAATTTCGTAAGAATCTGTCAGGTGATTTCGAAGTTTAAAGTGGGGACAGACACAGACAAGGTAGTGATATCATAACTGCGGTTTCTTGAGGAAACGTAGAGTAAAATCTTATGTAAGAAAATAGGTATGAAGTAGGTTTTAAAAATGTCATTTTTAGATTTTGGAGTGCGTTTCATTTATCTTAATGAATTCATTTTAAATTCTGGAGGTTGGGCGTTGTGTCACGAATACAACCGCTACTCACTTTGGGAACCTGAACTTGCTGCGGTGGGTAGCGTACCTGGTCCCTGTGCTCCCACAGTGGCACTTGTTCAGCTGTACGTTTCGGGAAGCGCCGCGTGCGTACAAACGGCATACATTGTATTTAGGTACGAGTTGTTTTACGGCCCTGTTAGTTACACAGACCATGGCGCCAAGTGGCAGGATGAGTGGTGAATAATGAATTGGAAAGGATCTGGAAGGAAGCGATCTCAGCCTGTACTATCCCGACATTTACCTGAAGGAGCTGAGGAAAATCACGAAAAACCTCAGACCGGATAGCCAAAGTCTAGGTCAGTATTCGAACTCAGGACCTTCAGAATACGGGTTTCGAGCTTTAAGAGTCGGCATAGCGACTGGCTACGGGCTGGACGACCGAAGGGTTGCAGTTCGAGTCCCCGTAGGGTCAAGAATTTTCCCTTCTTCAAAACGTCTAGACCGACACTGGGGTCCACGCAACCTCCTTTAAAATGGGTACCGGGGGTTCTTTCCCGGGGGCAAAGCGGCCGGGACGTGAAGCTGACCACTCACCTCCAGTTAGTGCCGAGGTCAAGAAAAATGTGTTTCCCCATACACCTTTATGGCGTAGTGTTTAATTAGTTCAGCACAGGACAACTTCACCTTCATCTTTACCGCCACAAGTACCTGCCCAACACAAGGAGGCGGATATGACCTCATTTTTCAGGATTTGCCTCTAATGACTGAGGAAAATCATGATAAACGTCTGCGAGAACTGGCAGTCATCGGGCCGGGGTTTGACCCCCGGGACCTGCCAAATGCGTGTACTGCACCCCAGCGTTCAGTTCTTAATAGCTCAGAGTCACAAGTGCGTGACCGCAGAGGAGGCGAGTGGGCACAGCGGTACTCGGTAGAATTCGGGCCAGGACACCTGCTATCCTGCCTGAAGTCTCTCGTGGTTTTCCTTAGTTCTCCGGCGTAGTACCTCGATTATACCACAACAGCTTCCTTCCAGTTCCTTTCAATTCATTATTCACCAATCATAACACTCGGTGTGCAGTCTAGCTGCTGAGAGCGTCATTAAACAACCCACAGCAAATCAAGCAGGTTTGCTTAGCGGTACTAATCAGGGCTTGTATTCGTGTGATGGCCGCTTTGAGTCTGTGCCGTAATACTGAATTAGAGCTTGTTCGTGGTTTTCCTCAGTCCGTACAGGGGAATGCCGCTATAGTAACTTCATTGGGCAGCGACCGTTTTCTGTCAAATCCTTTCCAATTCATTTCTCACCCATCAAACGGCATAGACCCCGGGACTGTTTAGGAACAAGACAGCCATTAAGCGGTAACGCACCTTTGCCGAAATTCTCCAGGCATGTTTCAGTGCAGTGAAAAGAGGTTGCACATGTTTACATTTAAAAAAGGCGATGTGTCTCGTTATGGGACAGTCTGATACAGCGTCGTCAAATGAAAGCAAAGCCGTGACTAGTTGTGCGGTCTGGTCACTTTGTGTTGCTGTCTAGCTGTCAAGGGAATTCCCCCCTTGGTCACGCTTACAGTCGAGTTGACGCGCCCCGGTTCCAACTGTCGTGTTCCCGCGTCTGGTATCGAGGCACGGCTCTCAGGTACTGCGTCCTTGAACTTGGGCGCAGAGTAATGTTCTGTTGGCCGGCTGAGAGTGGTGTGGCCTGTAACATAAGCTTACAGGATTAAGTGTAACAGGTATCTTGTGGCTACAGTCTGCGGGCTTGATACATCGTGTAAGAATGATTTTTCGCTTAACAGAAAGGAAGAAATAGGAATTCTATACTTTAATCTCCTAAGATGCTCATACATTACTCGTTTCATTTGTCGTATCAACTTACACGCAAGGGACCTTGGTGGTTGTGCCCCATTGGGTCCACTTCAGCGAGACACTGAAATATTACACCGTTTCCTGTCAGATGGCTAACAACTAGCAACGTGTGTACGTAACACAACTGCACACATATTTATTATGTTTTAGTTAACCATTCGAAGCGTCGATAGAGAAACAGCAAGACTTATCTGCAGATTAGCTGCAGTTGTCAGTATAACCGCCATGACACATCAGTACTGCGTTCAACATGAATGGCTTCCCCTGGTTTTGTTTGCTTGTCAGAAGATGAGAGTGAGTATCGGTAAATAGGCCACAAATCGATATAAAACTAAAACACATGATATTCGAACCTGGAGAAAAGAACATTTACTTCTCGACATAGCCTCCAGCAACATGGATACATTTGTCCCATCGTTTTACTGTGAGTCGAAACCCGCAACACAGAAGGTTTTTGATTGTCGTTTCAGCCTCTTCATCGTCAGCGAAACTTTGAGAGAATTTCTCGATCAAGTTGTGAACCGTTTTACGCGACAAACACTTCCCACGTTTTCTTTATGAATATCCTTCGCATTTAGTCCTTTTGCCCACAGAAAACGCACAACAGAACGCTTATTTTTTACAGTACACTCAAGCACGGTCGCCATTTTGACTACTGAAAACAGCCCCTGAACATGCGAATGCGCGTCTGCTACCTAGACTGTCATGAAAATGGATTGTGCTAATATCCAGTGATACACGTAGAAACCCTATTATGTTCAGGGACCCCAGATGTATCTGAATAATGTATATAAAGGAGTCAGTCTGTACCTCGCAGGAAACACCGCGTCTCCATAACGAAGACCAACCGGTTAATGTGGTCTAGAAAAACAGTCGCTGTTTATTGTGAGAACCATATGAAACACATAAGTGCACTCTGTGGGCAAAATGCAGAGTTATTTTAGTGTTAAAGCGAATAGTACAGACAGTAACCACCGTGTTTTAAAGGGGTTTACTGTTGTTGCTACGTTCTGTATGTGTCAGAGATTGTAAATAGGCACAGGGGTACGTTTTGGAGTCCCAGTCCATCCAGTGAATATCTAGAACATGAAGGAGAATGTCCTGAGGTAGGAGTTCTCAAACTTTGTGATAAGTGTGGACCCCCCCCCCACAAAGAGAACAAAACAAATTTAGGTGAGCCCTCCGTGAGTACATCCACTGGTGTCATTAGGATTAATGAGTGAAAATGTAGAAAATTTCCCCCTTCTCAGTGTCTGCCGGCCGCAGGTGGGGGTTCTCTTGAAGGACTTACATTAAACCTTACCGACTTGTCAGAATTGTGCATGGATGTAGCTACATTGTAAATAATTCTTGAGAACTCGGCTGCTTGCATTGAGGTGGGTCACGACCCACAGTTTGAGAATTCATACGTAAAGGTGAATGCTTGTTGTGCGCTCACAGATGCAGATGGCACTGGTCTCTCTGTCATCGCAGGGGAACGAGTGCACATTGACGCGAGCTGATGTCTTTGAACGAGATGGGGAATCCCTATATTTCAGTAACATTATTAGAATATTAGGGGGACACGTGCCGGGGTACGAACGGGGACTGTATCAAAAGAATACATAAATAATTACATTGTTATTGTTAAGTCTCAGTTTGTGACAGTTTCCATATCGCATGAACTTATGAACCCTACTCACCATTTTTGTGGTAACTTGCTTGTAGCGCGGGAAATGAACACGCGTTTCGCTGTTTGTGTGTGCTCGAGGGGGCGGGGTATCTAGACTGTGTAGCGTCGAGTGGTAGGATGAATGATGAATTGAAAAGGATTTGGAAGAAAAGGATCGTCTCCGAATAAAGATACTATTACAGAATTAGCCGGTGGGGGGGGGCGAATGAGGAGAAAACAGAAACTTCAGTTAGGATGGTTGATGTTGGGCCGAGATTATAAGGCACAAAAAAAAAACTCCGTGGCCTGTAGTCCGCAAGCGAACTATATCGACCGAGCGACCGCCGCTTGTCGGCGAAGTTAGTGCCAAGTTTAGCGGATAGAGGTTACCGCTTGGTCAGCGCAACGGATCCCCGCGGCCGTTAATTTCGGTTTTCTAGACCGGAGCCGCTATTCGCTTGAAATAGCTCGATTGTAAGGATCACTCCCCGAGTACAAGTTGAGAGCGTTACCGCCACGCTAACCCGCCTAGTGTTTGCTGCACCGGGCCAAAGCGTTGTAGCGCCATTATGAGTAAGCGAATAAGAGAGTGTTTCAATAAATTAATAAATATATAAGCAAATACATAAGAGTGAATGAATAAATAAATATTTATGCTAGCAAACAAGGAAACAAACAAACATGTATGCATATATACACACGCACCTACATAGGCACTACACGTGTGAAGATAGCTTTATTTCCTGGTTTGCGAAAT